CTCAATGGGTGAGAGGGCTTGGGATTGAGTGGCATACTCCAAGCCACCCCAACATTCCCACACACTCCTGGGCAGATACCATAGATTAGCTCACTACCTACCAATTCTAGTACCTTTCAACTTCTCTTCTTCTATTATAGAGGCTGAGAAGTTACAGAGACATTTCCCAGACTCCCTTGGAGTGAAGCTTAATGTATGTGACCAAGTCTTCATTAAGGAAACCAAAAGAAAACCATTGCCATGAACTCAATGCTGACTCACGGTGAGCCTATGTGTGTCAGAGTAGAACTATGCTCCAGAGGGTTTGCTGGGCTGTACTCTGCACAGAGAGGACCATGAGGTCTTTATTACGAGGTTCCTCTGGGTGGGTTTGAGCAGCCAACCTTTCAGTTAGTAGTTAGGTGCTTACCATTTGCACAACCCAGGGACTCCTCTCCACCCAGTATTATTGTTGCTGTTTGCTGCTATCATGTCAATTCTAAGTTGAAGTTAGGTAGCATCAAGTTGGCTTGGACTCATAGTGACCCATGTACAATAGAATGAAACACTGCCTGGTCCCGTGCCATCTTCACAATCACTGCCAAGTTCGATCCCACTGTTGCAGGCACTATGTCAACCAATCTCGTTGAGGGTCTTCCTCTTTTGCACTGACTTTCTACTTTACCAAGTATGATGTCCTTCTCTAGGGACTGATCCATCCAAATAACTTGTCCGAAGTCTTGCCATCCTTACTTTCCAGGGACATTCAGGCTGTACGTCTTCCAAAACAGATTTGTTTATTCTTCTGGCAGTCCACGGCATATTCGGTATTCTTCGCCAACACCAAATTCAAATGTGTGGAATCTTCTTCAGTCTTCCCTGTTCACTGTCCAGCTTCACGTGTATGTGAGGCACTGGGTCAGGTGGACCTTAGTCCTTAAAGTGACGTCTCTGCTTTTTAAAAGAAGGTGGGGACCAGGTCTGCTGGTCCAATGGAGCCTGGTGGAACCACTGAGACTATGGCCCCTAGCTGCCCTTCAGGTCTGGAATTGAACCCACACCTGTGGTTTCCAGCCAAACAAAGTACAGGCATG